GCTATTACTGGTGATCATTCAAAGCAACAGAAAATGGAACAAAGGGGAATGCAAAACTCAATTCAGTAAATAGTTTGCTTAACATCTTCTACAGAGATGGAATCAGTATAAGGGGCCCTATAAGGGGAACATGTAAGCTTTCCCCCATAATTCGTATTTCAAAGCCTAATCTTGGGGAAATTGCCCCGTTAACCTTCATTTTAAGTTTATACCCACCAAAAATCCACTACGACACACATTTTAAGGATCTTACTCTTGCACAAGATTTTCACAATGAATGTGTAAACCACCCCCACTGAAGGACTGATCTAAAAAATCTCATGCCCTCCAAACACCGCTACTGTACAGCATCTCACCCTTCAGAAAGGCCTGATTTAAATCAGAAATTGCTTCTATTCCATGTGGAGCCTCCAGATGTTTTCCCAATTCAAGCCTTTTCCTTAGATGGAGTTGTTATCAGATGATGTAATGTTGCTGCATGGATAACAGCGCTTGGATTTGAATCTTTGGTACGGTGCCTGAGACTGTAACTCTTATCAACAGAACTTGACATTAATCGCTGCAGTGGCCATGGACAGTATCGTATCAGTCGTGTTGAACTCACAAGTAAGATCACACCTAACAAGATAAGTAGCCTGCAGCAGCAAATATTTTGAGGTGAATAACGGTTCAGTGTAAAGTTTTCAGAAATTGGATTCTCAAAGAGCTACGAGAGCCTCTACTATCATTCAGCAAACAAACACATTATTTTGGACTAACTCTTTTAACAACTATCAATCTCAAACAAAAAGAACACCGTCAAGGTTGCATGACCAAATCCCAATAATCCAAACTTTCCTAGACATACATATCTCAATTTTGCGCCTGGGCTTTTCAAGCTTTCAGCATGATGATAAAAAACCCAGCTTTCAAGCCATATGTTGAAAACAAGGGTTTCCTACCATCGCATAAGTTTAAAGTTTAGGTTGTGCTTCATTACCATCCAAGTAGAAGTGAAAAACGAGCAGCTGGTGCCGAAGGCAATTGTTCTCCCAAAGCAAGCATACCAGCAAGTACACCAGTCAAAATTGATGCCACAGCAGCACAAGTAGACACAATTATTGCTCTTCCATGCTTTAGGCCCCATGTCTGTTCACAAGGAATAATGGGTATATGTGTTAAAAAGAGTTTCGGCAATGCACAAACATGGATCATGTCAAACATAAACTCTAGCCATAACCTTCCTCCGCACAATCAAACATATTCATGACAACAAGAACTACAGCATGCAACTGAATATGACAGAAACCTATAATGTGAAGCACAAGTTCTGCCTAGCTAAAAAAAGTCAAACTATTTGTGCACAAGTAGATCAATTGCTGAGCAATCATTGTGAATCACTCAAGTGACTGAAATACCTGATAGTAAAATCCTGTGCCACTACAGCATATACTGAGTGATATACATATAGGAATCCACAACCTAGAAGAACCCTGCTCCACCAAGATGAAACCCATTTTTGATATTACTGACGCCATGCTGCGAACAGATGAGTCATATACATTATCAATTTCATTTGGAGTTAATAATGAACCATGAAAAAGAATAAGAAGGTGACAACAAAATGAGATTCAGGAAAAACTCACCCAAACAAAATCCCTGATTCCAAGCCATATATAATTTCTTCAACAACTTCATACTCCATCTGCATCAGAAAGTATCATAACATGATTGCAAGATGGTAAGAAAAAAAAAAACATCCAAATCAACAAATTCCATAATTAAAGCCTAAATTAACATAAATCCTTAAAGTTGTAAAAAAAAGTTAAGAATGAAAAATATTAACCATTTCCTGCTCTCTCCGTTGATGCCTGCAGATACGAAGCCACCCATTTAGCAGTACCTGTGTGGCATTCACAATGCATCGAAAGCATTAGCCATGAACACATTAGCACACTCTAATGGTGAAAAGAAGGATAAATAAAGCACTATTATACCTAGAAAATGCAAGCAGACAGAGGACTAAGATATAAAAACATAATTTATAACAATTTCAAATTCAGGCAGCCAACATCAGCAATGGATCTATAGTTTTAACAACGATGAACCTTCAGTGCAGGCCATTGACTGTAGATTTTAAAGGCAGTAAAAATAAGCCTCATCATAGAAGGGATTAGATAAATTAATAGATGACTTCCATTCTCTACGTGTTAACCTTATGCTAATATAAAAATGTTGTCATCATGTGGACTTTTATTAAATTAGCAAAAGTTACAGACAGAGATTAGGAAAGGGGTACCTACAAACAAGATTACGACAGAAAATGCCAGCCATGGTAACTGTAAAATAGATATTACAGAAGCCTCTTGCTCCTCTCCACCAGCTCCAACTCCTGAAATTAGAAAAGTAAAATCAGACTATATAGCTCTTCCTTGGCCACATCATAAAAAAATCTGAAACAGAGAACTACTAAGAAAAGCCACTTCTGTCTCGCCCAAATGTTCATTGACAGAAACACTAAGCTATCATACAGCCAAACTTGATAATTCAGATTATTAAAGAAACTTCAAGAGAAAGTTCATTCCAAAGCAGAAAGCATGTCTTGTCAGAGGATATGGAAAATATGCTAATTGTAAAAATGTTTTATCTACAAATTTTTTACTTTGAGAATGAATTATGTCGTGTCAAAATTCTTCTAGATTCTCTCATTGCCAACAAGATCAGTTCCAAATGTAACAATTGCAAAAGAAAATTATGGCTAACTTGCATTACCTATGGTGCCAATACCAGCCAAAGTAATTCCTATCCAGTCAATAGGATTCATGACTTCCTTCAGATAAAAGTGGGAAAAGATAGAAAGAATGGCGAGTCCACAGCCAGAAACTGGTTGTATAACAGATACCTGGAAATACAATTTGGTCGTTACCAATACAAAGAATACACACCAGTCAAGAAGATAAATCATCAGATAGCATAATCAATACTCATGCATATATTGCCCAACAAGGCTCATATTCATAATAAAGCATTTACAACTGACTATGGAAAAAAAAAAAGAATTCCAACAATTTATTCATAGCATACACAGAATGCAAAGGAAAAAGGTTTATTTTCTGCATAAGATAGAGTTAAAGTCGTAATCTTTCACTAATAGTAAGAATTCTAGAGGAAAACCAAAATTTACCTCACAGAATAAAGAAAAAAAAAATTAAAAGAAAAATCAACTCACAGGAGCTAGAGATAATGCCTTTAACATCAAAATGGCACCAAAAATATCCATCAGAAAACCAATCGCCCAAGCCTTATTAACTGCATATGCTCGAATCACCTGTACAAGACACACACACAATCAATTAAATGACTACCCATATAATATCTATTAACACCAAACTGCAATATCTAGGGTTCCATTAAACAAAGGGGACCGACATAACAAATTTATAATTCTGAAATCCCAGGAGAAACCCAATTCAATACTCACCTTATAAAACTTAACCAGAATGATTCTAATAAAAAAGAAACACACCCATCACGTAACGGCAATAAAGGGCATACCTTGAGCTTGAAAGAGAGAGGAGGGAGGATGACGGTGCCCTTCTTCTGCAGAACTTTGCCGATGTTGTTACCGGCAGTAGCTGCCAACGTTAAACAGATCGATTCCCACATGTTTTTTCCTCCGGCAAAGGCAAATCACATTGAAATTGGATTGAATGGAATGATGTATCTGTAAATGCCCTCGCCGCCCCCCTCTCCGGCGATTTCTTTTACCAAATCGGTGTTAAAAAAACAATTTATTTATGGTAATGATTTAGTGGGTAATGTTTTCTGTTTTACGTTACCCGCCCTTTTAATGACTTTGAGGGGGCGGCGCCTGTCATCTGGTTTTTTGTAACTTTTTGTTAGTTCCGAACCACGTTGTCGCACGTGACTGCATTCTAGAGGGCAGGACTGGGCCTCGGCGGACTTTTTCAGGTTTGTTTGGGCTGAATCTCATGGAACATTGTCCAAACCCATCCTAAGTTATTTCAAAAAGAATAAAAAAAAAAAATTCTTATTTCCTAAAATAACGTTTTAGTTTTGGATAATGAAAAGTTATTTTATAATTCAAATTACATCAAACTGTAAATACAGTAATTTTTGGATTAGGGAATGGTGTTTTGATATTGAACCCTCTTCCTCCATCTAAGAAATTTAATTTTGCAATTTAATAAAATTCAAACTACAAAATAAGAAATTCTATGGGTAATCTGAGTATTGGAATAAGATTGGACTATAAATTAAAAATCTTTAAATGGGAGCATAGTCGTCACTTTTAAGGGCTTTGTTCTTCATTCAATGATTTAAATTATGTAATGTATAATATATTTTTATTTAACTTAAATAAAGTATATTTTCTTTGTTAGAAAAAAAAGAGAAATTTTAAGAATCTTCTAGTTTATGTGTGTTCTAAACAAAAATGGATGAATTTTGAATCTCCACTTCACTATGAAGCAATGCTTCTAAGTTGCATTTTTTGTTAGAAAAATAAAATAAGGGTTTGTTTATCGGGTGAACACAAGATAGAAAAAACCATGAAATAAAAAGGCATTAAACATTGAAATGTATCCAACTTTGAATCCGATTGAAGCTAAATCGGGTGAAAACTGTTAGCCAGAAGAAATTCATGGTCCCCATATAAGGTTTCGTTATCATGCAAGTATGCAACCCAGAAGTTTGCCATCTTGCCTTTGTCTGTTCAGGCCCGAACCTCTATAAATTGATGGCCCTCGTGAGCTGTAAGGATGGCAACGGTCCCCCTGGGTGGAGGCCTCTCCCCACCTCTGTCAATGATGAATACGGGTATCGTTATAAAGATTTTTTGTGAAAGGGTAAAAATGACCTTCGTTATAGGGAATGCTATGTTCTTAGGTATATTTGAAGTTCTCATTAAATATTAAATATATAGAATTTAATTTATTTATTTTTATAAATAACAAAGTAAAAATTTTAAATAATTCAAACAAATAAATACATTAATATATAATGAAACAAAGCAATATTTAATAACCAATTACAATAAATATACATTATTATACACGTCTAACAGTACCAACAACAAGCTCATAAAAAATAATACAAGAACTGTCATACATGTCTAGATTTGGTTGGGTTATTAAATTAAATTTGAGAAGCCTAGAATCAAAAAAGAAATTAGACTGGATAATTTAGGTTAGATTTAGTTAGATTAACCAATTAGATTGAGTGAATAAAAATTAATTGATAATATATTTACAAAGATATATATAAAAATAAATTTACATATATTTTTATTATCTATGGATCTCCACAAAATGGAGGAACGAAATTTCACAAAAAAAAAAAAAAAAAAAGAGAAATATTTTTGAAATCTCTATTTCTTGTGACATGGACCCTACGGAACTTTGCAAGTCTAAGAGAAAATTGTCATGCCCTAGTGAGCTGCTACCAATGTGGTCACACATCCTGCAGCTTTTAGGAACCCCAGTTGTTACTATCCACCAAGTAAAATTAATATTTGAATTGAAATGAAAGAAATTTAATTTTTTTTAAATGAGATTTTAAATTTGAGATTTACAAATAAAAAAATAAATGTTAGAAAAACTTCCTTTGTGGGATTTGACTAAGTTTAATTTTGGATCAGTTGGACGAAATATAATTTTTAGATACCAGGTGATTTGAAAAAAAAAAAGAGCAAAAGAAAGTTAAGGAAAACTAGAAGACAGTATAGTTTTTTTTTTTTTTTTTTCCTATTTAGAGGTCTCTCGATAGGGAGAAGTTTGAGAAGGATGAGACGACTAGTAACGTTGGAGTTGGGTAGAAATGAATTTCTCTGCAAGCACAGTGCAGATGCAATGATGCCAATACACAGAGTAATGCACTGAGTATAATAATGGCAAAATTTCAAGGTTCATAATAACAGAACAAGCTTTTGTGACTGGAAAACAATGATCTTTATTCATTACACTGAACCATGTATATAAAAGAGTTTGCAGTTACACAAAGAAACTAAAGATATATACAATAATGAAGTATATACAATTTAAATATTTGACTGATATGCTGCATATAATACTGAATATACAGTTGCCAAGATGAGTCTTGTTGCCATGATTCATGATCTGGGATTGCTGAATTTGATGACAGGATTTGTGTCCATAATACATAAATCATAATGATGAAATGTACATATCTGCCTCTTAAAAAGAATGTGGAGAGGAAAAAAATCGTAAAAGACTAATGACCTGAAGCATGCAATTAAAGTATAGCTCCGCACAATATGACAGTATCAACTATTATGCCAATGATTAAAGCGAAGATAAACTACAGGAACAAACAACTGAGGATGCAGTAGAACATAATGAAAACCAAACCACCACAATAAAAGAAAAAAAAAATTGAATGTAAGGAATAAGAAGGAATCCTTGGATGGAATGCTTTAAATGGAGTTGCCCCAAGAACGAACTCAGGGAGGTATAGTATAATTAAATTGGCATGATAAAAAGATTATGATCAGATCATCAAAACAAATGAACACAGATTCTTTGGAAGTGAATGAAACAATCCCAGATTTCTGTGCCACTACAATAGCATTGACTAGCAGAAATAAAACAACAAAACCAGGAACTAATTAAATATAGAATCGATAAATTTAGGAGGAAAGCATTCTTCTAGAAAACCATCGGACTCGATGGATAAGAAAAACAAACTCACATACCATATTAGGAGATCTTGATTTCTAAAACTACTAGGCTAAAGGAACTTACAACTCTCTACTTTGCTAATGAGGAAAGAGGGAAGAAAGCTATGGCAAATGCTGCATCAGATTGAACTCCTTCCATCACAATTCACAATTCACAAAGCATGTGATAGCCAGTCAAGATGATAAAAGCTGAGAAATTCATAACATGCATCAAGGTTTTCAAAGGACAAGAAGTGATTTCCAGGCAACAGAGCTTCGTTATCCAAATTTACAATCAACTAGTCCGCAAGTGGCCAATCCACAAATCTGGATTTCATTTTTGACACAAAAATTTGGAACTTTAGCTCAAACATGTATCAAATTGAATACAACCACAAAACATAAAGAAAAGGAAACAAGAAACGAAATTTAACCAGCCAAAGTCATTGAATCACCACCAACCGTAGACGACCTGAGTGTACCTGTCTTTCAGCCACCGGAAGCTCCTCCTCAAGGACCCCTTCACTTTACCCTCGACACTGTACATCTTGTAGCTGGCAATCCTCTTTTTCCTTTGAAACTCAGGGTCACTGACGCTCCAAGACTTGGTTGATGATGATGACGACCTAGAAGTGCTCTTCCCTTTCTTCAACTCGAAATCATTGTTGTTGCTGCCGGGATTGTGGTTATTAGCCATACCGATCTGGGTCTGTGCGTAGGAAGCACTATAGCACTGGAGATCATAGGAAGTGGGCTGTCTCGGAGGCGGATGGTAGCTTTCCATCCCCATCACCCCGTTCACGGATGATCTCGATCTATTGTAATCCTCCATGGCAGAGAGATTCCTGAAGCTGAAGGTGGCGTGGGTTTCGTTAATTTCTCGTTGTTGAGGACACTACTCGTTCTTGACAGATCAGGAAAGAACAAGAATGATGGAATTGGCCATTGGGTCCCATGGAGAATAAAAAGGAGAATGGAATGATAAAATAGGAAAACAGCGAGAAAAAAAGTATAAATAAGGTATCTTTAAAAAAAATAATAATAATAAAAGTTAAAACCCCAATTTGGTCCCTAAACCATTATACGGTCCCAATTTGGTCTCTAAACTTAAAAAACCCTTGATTTGGTTCCTACTGTTTATCATTTTGATCCTGATTTGGTTCTTTTATTAATTTTTTCACGTTAATTAATG